TGTTAATAAGAATGTTACTACGTATAAATATTTTTTTACACATTGTTATGATAAAATAAGCATTTTATAAATCAAATTATTACATTTAAGTACTCATACAGCTGTCCACAAAATAATAGGAGTGTCAATATGAAAAATATATTTGGGTACATAACGTTTTTAGATCACAAGTAAATGACGAAGTACAATAGCAGCACACATAATGGGTTATTCCCATTAAAACTTAAAACAAATTTTTAATCTGATGATTGTTACTCTCGTTCATTTTTGCTAGTTTTCAGAGACCGAGAAAAGTACCGCTATTAAAAACGAAACACTTAGACGTAGCCTGTATGACATTTGCAAAAAAGAATGTCTCCTGGCCCTTGTTTAAATGGCGAAATATATTGGGATCAGATGAATCCAAAACTGAATTGTTTGTTAGTAAAAGTTCTAGAAACTTTGTCCTGCGTTCATCTAACATGGAAAATAATCCTTAATTTACAAAAAAACCTGTCAAACATGGTGATGCTGAAGTCATTGTAGAGGATTTTCACATAGTGGAGTTGGTCCAATTCTCTTGAGTGAAGGCCTCATGGATCAAGTGGCATAGGTTAAAATATTAGATGAGGTAATCTTATCATATGTCTGATAGAATATATAATAGCATTTATATGGGTATACCAACAAGATAATACATAGATGAGCAACTGTGAAAAGAAATGATGTAGAGGCCACGGAATTGAAGTTATGTCTCAGTTTGTTCAGTCTTCTGACCTCAACCCCATAAAAACCTTCAGGACTGATAGTTGATGATGAAAAGTGATGTTAGTGTTATTGAACAAAAACTAAGCAATTCGAGTTATTTCTAGCAGTTGGTAAAAGAGAGATTTTGTAAAGAATTCCATTTCAACATTGCCAGGATCTCATAGACTATATCCAGGAAGTGTGATGCCATATTAAAAAAAACCAAAGCTAAAAAAAATTAATTATTTTAATATTCAGTATAGGTTTGAAATCATTTTAATTTAAAACTTTTAGAAATTTTCGAATACTCCTATCTTTATACTAATTTGTAGTATATATAGTATAGTTTTGTTTAATGTAAACTGTGATATAAAATTTTCTCAACGTTCGTTTGAAACATTTAGACTGGAAATATTAATCATAAGTAAATGTCTTGTTGCAAAAACTTTGAGATTTAAAACATGTTATTAAAAACGGAAAAGTTCGTTTTGTTAATGATGTTACTCCTATTTTTTTTGTAAACAACTGTAAAAAATATGATTTTTCATGATACATATCATATTTTTATAGATCCAGATCAGTTTTATTGAGTTGAAAATAATAATAAACAAGTAACGAAGGGCTAAGTCGTGTAACTGAACATTTTATACTCTTGCAACTGGCAAGGAACAAAGCCGGCGAAATAACGAAACTCTTTTATGTAGTATACCAATTTTACATATTTTCAGCATTAAACTATAGTATATCCAATATTATATATTCAGTTAATTTTGTTAATATATTATATCTTACCCATGGACCAATATATACGGTATAAAGTCATGGGAGATAGGCGTAGTATTGATCCGATTTTATCTATTTTTGGAATTACTATATATTATTTATAGAAAAAGACGTTCTCTGTGTTTCATTAAGGTACCTCACATACCATCACCAATATAAAAGGAGTAAAGTCAATCGGATGTTGAAAAATCCTCATATTAGTTATATGGGCGCTAGGGCGAGTTTTCAACCGATTTAATCCATTTTAAACTCACAGATGCGCCGTTATAAGAAGGCGGGTGCCCACTTAATTCTCTTAGTTCTCTCCAAATTCCAATTATATATCGCATACAGATAATTTCGGTAAAAATTAACCATGGACACTTGGGTCCATATCTTCGGTATATAGGGGCTTGAACCGTTATGGCCCGATTTTGACAATTTTTAGAATTAAGATGGCATACCTTAAAAGCACTCTGTTTGCAAAGTTGTATTTCAATATGTTTACTAATGCTTGATACGTATACTGGAAAGTAAAAAAAATCAGATGGAATTTAAATTTGTGTTATATGGGAAGAAGTGTTTTTGTAAGCCGATTCGCAATGTGACATAGGCATGTTAGGATAATATTGCCTATCAAATTTGGTTGAAATCGGTCAAGTAGATCTCGAGATTTGGATTTTACACCTTGTTGTTGTTGTAACGGTTATCTAACGGGAGGCCCAAGAAACAAGCTGTTTCAACGGGGTGGGACCATAGGGAAAAGGGTATTAGATGAGTTGGGTTTGTTGGGCATGCAAAGAGGTGGTTAGTATCATGCGAAGACTCATTGCACGTAGGACATATGTTTGAAATGTCGGGGTTATCTGGATAAGTAGGAGTTAATCTGCTACAATATCCAGAAAAAAGTTGCGCGAGGGTCACTCTAGATACGAGAGGCAAATCGAGCTTTATGTCTGCTATGGGTGGTGGTTTGACTCCTAGTACGCCATTCACTGAGAGGGAGTCGATAAAGGTGTTAATGCCTCCACAGTGAATGGCGGTCAGTACTTGTCTGTAGTTCGTTGTGTCCGAAGTCCCGTCGGCGTACTGTCTGACGTCGTCGACGTAATCAAGGAAGGACCTCTTGATGTTCCTAGGAGGTGGTTCTTCCGCTTCAAGCAGACGACAAAACCCCAGCAGAAACTGATGGGAGAGGAGCTCGTTATGTTCCTTAACCGGAAGAATAAGGGCCGCACTGTGCAGGTGTTCTATTGGGGACATCAAGAGGCATTCCGTGATAGTCCGGAATGCAGTGTTCTGACAAGTCAGAAGCTTCTACGTCTGCTTTGCACTACATCCAGGCGACCATATCGGCGATGCATAGCTTAGGACCGGCCCGCCGATTGCCTTGTATGTTGCCAACAACGTATCTTTGTCTTTTCCCCAAGAGCTGCCGGCAAGCGAGTTGAGGATTTTGACACGGCTCTGTACTTTGGCAGTTATCGCGGTCGTAGCGTTATTGACTGTTAGAATTTATGTGCCATCGACAGAAATGTTCAGATCCAGTCTGTACTCCTTCATATAGTTTGTGAAAATGGTCGCTGTGGATTTAGTGGGGGAGAGTATCAGATTCCTTGCAGAGAGGAAGCGAGAAAAGTCGGAGAGGTAGCTGTTTACTTTTGAGCACATGTCATCGATTCCATTGCCCGACGTCAATATCGTGCAGTCATCAGCGTACGAGGTCACGGAGATTCCCGCTGGTGGTTGGGGGAGTTTCGAAATGTAGAGAGAAGACCGCCCTGTGGAACCCCGCGTTTAATTATTCTAAGTTTGGAGTTTTGACCTCGAAACAGTACGGATGAGTGCCGACCGCTCAGGTAGTTCATAGTCCACCGCTTCAGCCCTGGAGGGAGCATTGATTGTTCTAGGTCCTTAAATAGCGTTATGTGATTGACTGTGTCAAAAGCTTTTGACAAGTCCAACGCTACGAGGATCGTCCTCTCGCAGGGTAGCTTTTGGTTTAGGCCATAAACGCTAAGGGCTGTGGTGGTGCTGTGCACTTTTCGGAAGCCATGTTGATGGTCTGCTAGACTCAGGTGGTGAGTGAATGTCGGGAGTAGCAAGGCCTCAAGTGACTTCACTACTGGGGAAAGAAGAATTATCGGGCGATTATACTTCCCTTTGTTGGCGGGTTTCCCAGGTTTTAGTAGTGGGACCACTCTTCTGACTTTCTACACATCGGCTATTTGAAGAGAGGGCATCGACAGGTTTTAAGATGGCTCCATCCATTGCATGTATTGCACCCATCCGAGGTGGAGTTTGGATGGAGTCTATTAGCGCTTATGCAGCAAAAGAATTCCTCGGGGGTTGGACTCGATGCCAACACGAGTCAAGAGAGTACGGAGCAACCCTGCTGCTAAGTGTTGCTCTAATGACGACAAACTTAAACGAACACTTACCGATCCAAACAGGATTAAATCGCCGAAATAGCAGCTCTTGGTCGGATCAATTCCGGTAACGTAGAACCGGTCGTTGTGGGAATTTTTAACACCAAAAAGTGGGTGGTGCCACGCTCACTGTACAATTTTTGTATTAGCTCCAATACAGCTTAATTAAACCATTCTACGTGTAAAATTGAGTTATCGCACTTTTAGTAGTTTTAATCAAAATCGTTATATGGGGAGTGCGCGGGCTTATCATCCATTGGCAGTGGTCCGATTACGCCCATCTACAATACCAACGTTCTTATGGTGCCATGAAATATGTTTCATCAAGATATCTCAATAATTACTCAAGTTACAGCTTGCACAGACGGACGGACGGACAGACAGACACCCGTATTTCAATTCTTTTCATGGTTGGGATTTAGAATAGCAGAACTGGTGTGTACGGATAGGGGAGGTTCTCCAGATTAGGAAAATATATGCATTAACTTGCCGCTGACCTATGGTTTTTGAGAAATTTGCATTTAAGGTTCAAAAATTCAACTATTTAAAGTGCGTGTTTCTTTGATTTATAATGAATTTTACACATATATATTTTTAACTTTATATTCAATAACACTTCACTAACTCGTTTACACACATTTGTTTTGTATTAAATATTGAAAAAATAACTTTAATTCAAAAAGTGAATTTGGATTACCGGAATCTACCTATTATGATTATTATCAGTGAGACAAAACTCTTCTGTACCTCTATAAGCTAGGAACTCGCATTAGTGAGAAATTTTCATAAGCGAGAAAAAAATCGTGGTCATGGTCCCTTGAACTCTCTTTTAAACTAGGTTTGACTGTATATATGTTATTAATCTGGAAAACCTCTTCTCTCCGCACATGCCCATTTTAACCCCGAATTATGGAGATGTTATTCTAAAATTTACCCCGTCTCTTTATCCTGATCATTTATAAATATTTAACCGTATATCTAACTCGATTAGGTTTGGGTGATACAAACAACCGATAGGTGAACCTATTATACTCTGTAGCAACATGTTGCAAGAGTATAAAAAAGCTTATTTAATGAATGAAATTTTGTTTGCTTTTATTACGCCTTGGCAAATTTTATTAACACTTTATGTCACATTTAAAATTTATACATAAATATATAATATAAAATTTAAAGCATTTATTAATATTTTGCTTCTTATTTTAGTATTAAAGCACGATTAGTTCTTATTTTCGAGTAACGTTATTTTATTTTTAAAGATTTAGCGTTATATTCTTCATTTCTGCTTACATCATAGTAATCCTTTTATCTATTTTATATTGGTTCGAGAAATGTCCTCACTTGTGGAAGTATTTTGTGAATTTTCTAATTTCATCAACTGCACCAACTTTTGGAACTTGATTTTCCTTAGTACTAAACGTCCGATTAATAATAATTTTTTCAAATATATTTTCCCGCATTGTACTAATATTCCGTACATCACTACCTGTTTTTGGCGGTGTGTTTAAGAATACTCCTTCAAATATTGTCTCGAGACTATTACAACGGCTGACGCACGCTGTGCTTTCTTCATCATCTGTAGGGGGACTTATAAGTGAGTTGATTTCTTCAAGAGTTACAAAATCCGAATTTAAGCGTTCTTTGGGGATAGAATCACAATCTAATTGTGGGTGCCCAGTGGGTGTTCGAAAATCTTCTTTATTGGTGTCTATTGGCGAAGGTGTACGTCCAAGCGGCGAAACAAGTCTAATTTCAAAGGCGGGAAGCTCATCACCTAATATAAGAGCACCCAATTCTTGATCTATTGATGAGGAAAATGATATATCGCCATCATTTAAGAGAGAAGACTGCGATCGGTGAAAGCGGGAAGTGTTCATTTGGGATCCAGATAATTCCATGCTAGTGTTAATTAGCAGCGCATCATTTTCTGTAAGAGATATTCTACAAATAATAATTATATTTTTCTAAAAGTTGCATAGCAATGTATCAAAACGAAAACACAATCAAAAACGTCACTTTCATACGATGTTCAATACGAATTCAAATAAAAGATGTAAATGAATAAGTGCTGCCAGATCCATTTATTACGTCGGCAGTCAAGTGTTTCTTAATTCAAATTATTCGTTCAGAATATTATGACGAACATGGATGACACAACAAAATCAAACCGACAATAAATTGCCAGAAGCAACTAGACAGAGCATTCGTAGTTGCCAGAATGTTCTAGAGGCGAAGTTTTATTAAAGATGTACTATATAAGCGCTATCAGATTGTGCAGCACACACAGTTCTAGCATCCTTGGTTCTTGTTAGAGCGTCGTCAAGGTTGAATCCTTGGCGTCTTCGTGTTAAGAGCAATTGAGACATAAACAAGAAGTGGTAAGCTCGAATAAGGAGCAATAAGTGTTAAATTTTTGGAATTAGAAATAAAGATAAGTGTATAGCATTAAATTGGGACTTTTATTTAATAATCCAGTGGTCGAACTCAAGAGTGAGTTACAAGGTAGACGATTTATCGAAAAATCCGTTACAATATAATAGCAGCGATGAAATTTATTGCTGTCCAATGAAAATCAATATGGAAGCAATAATGATAGACATGATATTTATTAAAAAAATTTTCTTTGAGAGATATAAATATGCATATTTTTTTAATATTTCCATTAGATATACATTTGGATATGGTAATCAACTACAAAAATATTATATTTGCTTACTTCTTACATAATATTAAAAATGCAGGAGGAGACAAGAATTTTCCTCTTTATAAGTATAATTCCTGTATGGAATGGAAAAATAATAACATATGGTAAATAATGGATAATTTCGAATAAATATCACATATCATAAATTACATGTTTTGAATGCAACAGTTCCTTTAAATTCGTTTCTTCGTGTATGCATATCTGTAATCATATATATACGTTGTTAAAATTTTACCTAGCTTCTGATTCACTACGAAAACTGAAAATTTTACTTTCACCTGTCAGAATATTCCTTTTTCTACTGTTTCACCACCCATTGCTCAAGTTGACATACTGCGAGAATCCTAATTGATCAAGAAGTATAGCTCCTACAAAACAGGTAAATGTTAGCAAACCTTTAAGCTATCGGTTATCAGTCCTATTATATATTTTAAATAATTTTTGGTTTAAATTTTTGATTAATTTTTTACTTATTATTATTTTTATTCAAATATGAAATACAGATTATGTTAATATAAGTATATAGTTTGTCAGGATAATATTATTTAAAGTATTTTATAAAATACTATCACTTTATGGTATTTATAAATGTTAAATAAAATGAAACTTATATCAGAATTCAGTACTCTAGTATTTGACATCTTTAATTCCAATTGTGTTCATCTTCATATACAAACGTCTGTTTAAATCACTGACGGCGTCGCCGAGTACGACGAATATTCGTCGTCGCCCGTATTGTGTTTAAGCTATAAAGCAATAGCAAGTAAATAAGTGAAAATAGCAGAAAATAATATTTAACAAGTAAGGAAGGGCTAACTTCGGGTGTAACCGCACATTTTATACTCTCGCAAAGTCAAATGGTATACTCGTTTGAGATTTCTTTGTGGATTGGCTGATTTCGGTAGAAGGTCAACTATAGGCACTGGGGTCCACATATTTAGTACTTAGGAGCTAGAAAAGTTTTGGTTCAATTTAGACAATTTTTGGTCACAAGGTGGCATACTTTAAACGTATTATTCACGCAAAGGTTTACCCCGATATAATCATTGTTGCTTGATATGCATAGTGGAAAATGAAAGAATCAGATGGAATTTAAAACGGTGTTATATGGGAAGTAGGCGTGGTTGTAGTCCGATTTCGCCCATTTTCGCACTATAACATAGAAATATGAGAAGAATGTTACGTACCGAATTTGGTTGAAATCGGTTAAGCAGATCTCAAGATATGGGTTTTCACCTAAAAGTGGGCTGTGCCACGCCCACTGTCTAATTTTGAACGCGGTTCTTATAAAGTCATCTCATACCATCCCAGAGATAAAATTTAATGTCTCTGGCGTGTTTAGTGCTTGATTTATCGCGTTTTTAACAGTATAGTTATATGGGGAGTGGGCGGAGTTCCCACCCGATTGCAACTATTTTCACATTGTAGGTAGAGGTTCTAAAAACATTTGCTTCTAGTGAATTTTGTTATTATAGCATTAGCGGTTTAGGAGATATGCACATTAAACCTATTAGAGGCGGGACCACGCCTACTTTTTGAAAAAAATGTTAACCTCAGATGCCCCTTCCTAATGTGATAATGTGTACCAAATAACAGTCTTATATCTTATTGCGGAGCTTAGTTATGGTAATTTATTTGTTTTTGATTAATGGCGTTTTGTGGGCGTGGCAGTAGTCCGATTACGCCCATCTGCAATACCAACCGTCTCACGGTACCCAGAAACATGTCTACCAAGTTTCATAAAGATATCTCAACTTTTACTCAAGTTACAGCTTGATGCATGGATCGGAGCATAGAATTTTCTCTTTATAAGTATAATTCCTGTATGGAATGGAAAAATAATAACATATGGTAAATAATGGATATTTCGAATAATATCACATATCATAAATTACATGTTTTGAATGCAACAGTTCCTTTAAATTCGTTTCTTCGTGTATGCATATCTGTAATCATATATATACGTTGTTAAAATTTTACCTAGCTTCTGATTCACTACGAACTGAAAATTTTACTTTCACTGTCAGAATATTCCTTTTTCTACTGTTTCACCCCCATTGCTCAAGTTGACATACTGCGAGAATCTTAATTGATCAGAAGTATAGCTCCTACAAAACAGGTAAATGTTAGCAAACCTTAGCTATCGGTTATCAGTCCTATTATATTTTTAATATATTTTTTTTGGTTTAAATTTTGATTATTTTTACTTATTATTATTTTTATTCAAATATGAAATACAGATTATGTTAATATAAGTATATGTTTGTCAGGATAATATTATTTAAAGTATTATAAAATACTATCACTTTATGGTATAAATGTTAAATAAAATGAAACTTATATAATTAGTACTCTAGTATTTGACATCTTTAATTCCAATTGTGTTCATCTTCATATACAAACGTCTGTTTAAATCACTGACGGCGTCGCCGAGTACGACGAATATTCGTCGTCGCCCGTATTGTGTTTAAGCTATAAAGCAATAGCAAGTAAATAAGTGAAAATAGCAGAAAATAATATTTAACAAGTAAGGAAGGGCTAACTTCGGGTGTAACCGCACTTTTTATACTCTCGCAAAGTCAAATGGTATACTCGTTTGAGATTTCTTTGTGGATTGGCTGATTTCGGTAGAAGGTCAACTATAGGCACTGGGGTCCACATATTTAGTACTTAGGAGCTAGAAAAGTTTTGGTTCAATTTAGACAATTTTGGTCACAAGGTGGCATACTTTAAACGTATTATTCACGCAAAGGTTTACCCCGATAAATCATTGTTGCTTGATATGCATAGTGGAAAATGAAAGAATCAGATGGAATTTAAAACGTGTTATATGGGAAGTAGGCGTGGTTGTAGTCCGATTTCGCCCATTTTCGCACTATAACATAGAAATATGAGAAGAATGTTACGTACCGAATTTGGTTGAAATCGGTTAAGCAGATCTCAAGATATGGGTTTTCACCTAAAAGTGGGCTGTGCCACGCCCACTGTCTAATTTTGAACGCGGTTCTTATAAAGTCATCTCATACCATCCCAGAGATAAAATTTAATGTCTCTGGCGTGTTTAGTGCTTGATTTATCGCGTTTTAACAGTATAGTTATATGGGGAGTGGGCGGAGTTCCCACCCGATTGCAACTATTTTCACATTGTAGGTAGAGGTTCTAAAAACATTTGCTTCTAGTGAATTTTGTTATTATAGCATTAGCGGTTTAGGAGATATGCACATTAAACCTATTAGAGGCGGGACCACGCCTACTTTTTGAAAAATGTTAACCTCAGATGCCCTTCCTAATGTGATAATGTGTACCAAAT